TATTCTCTATATATATATATATATATATATATATATATGTATATATATATATATGTATATATATATATATGTGTGTCTGTGTGTGTGTGAAATACCGCTAAAAGAGCATGATGCCAGGCAATTGTAGGAACAAAACTGGAACGAAAATGGAAAGTTTCTTGAAAGAGAATATAATGTTGAAGCTTAGTAAAAAAAGGATATCACATATTGACCAGACATGTAAAAATAAAGAAACACTTCGGTCTAACTTACCCTGTTGCGGTAACGCCATTTGTTTGCCCAGGCGAGCGCGAAACTTCGCAGACTCACTGCCACCATAGCGCAAGCGTTTTCCCTCGTCCACAAAAATATAGTGCGTGTGATTCTCATTCAGGGAGACCGGACGACCTGTCTCGATCACATTGGAAACCCGGTATAGGACTGGGGTCGAGTAGCTCTGTTCTCAAAGGATTTAAAGCAGAAAACGAGCACCCCAATGAAACACAAGTGAAAACCATGGGCAACAGTTTACCAAATCTTTTGAAATGATTGCCTTATTTAAATTGCTTTGGTTCATAAATATCAATCGCTGCCATTTTTCCAACCGATACCGAAAACGGAGTTGTGCAAAATCTTTCAGAAAAATTGAATCGGAAAAACAAAATGGTTGTCATGTAATAAAAATTGGCTAAACGTAGACGAGGGCGGTGGGGTTCGAATACAGTACATCTGGTGTTATTCAATGGTGACCGGAACCGGGTGATTACTGCAGAAGAAAGATTTGATAAATATTTCTGCTTCCAACCCGTTGAATGGATGGTCTCTACATATTTCAACCAATAAAACGGTTTCGATTTTTTCATTGCTTGATTTACGCCCCCCCCCCNCCCCCCACACACACACTTTATCTTATCAGATTCGTTTAGATATCCCTTTACAGTCCGTCATTCTGGTACACCACTAGCGGTCCAACAAAATGCTTTGTAAAAATAGCATCGGCTGTGGAAGTCCCTCATAATGGCTCCTCGCGATGCTCGTGTAGCCAATGGAAACAGGGAAAAGAAGTCGAGTTTATTAGCAAAAGCTGGAAAAAACTAGCTGCAAATCTACATAGAAGCATCATGAGTAGCGATCGGCGCATGTCATGGATTTAGAATTCTCTGGTTTAACAGACGTGCAAACTCCGTCAAAAGAAGCTCCTAATAATTCAGAAACAAAAACAGTTATCTGTTAAGCAATTTTTAATTGAGATTTAATGAAAACCCGTCTGTGTCGACAGCATATTCCGGCTTGAGTGACCGAGTGGTGCAACAAACTGAAAAACTGACAATCCAAAGACTCCCTTCAACTCTGTGTTTATTTTTAGTTTTCGCAGTTTCTGAACGTCGTCTGTCGTAGACAATGATATAGGCTTCAAGCACATGTGCCTTTGCGATCTTCAACCGCTCTTTGTCGAACGGTAGCATGGGTTTTAAACTTCAGATGAATTCATTATTACACCTGCCCTACAGTTCAAAGCTTGGTATGGTTTTAACTTTTTAATGGCCACGAAATTCATATATAGTTGTTACTAGGTATAGATCTATCAAACTACTTTTATTAGTAATACGAAAATAATGAGTGCGTCAGTTTGACCTAGTGGATTCCAAAATTTACCTAGCTATGGGATACTGAACTAATTTTAAACTCTGTACTATTTGAATAAAGAAGTAATTTGGAGTAGAAACGTACACATACTTTCAAATGGGTGTAACTTACACTGCAAATGAGTTCATCTCGATTGAGAACGTAACCCCATGGAGAAATGCCTAAGCAACGTAACTGATTCGACAGGCGACGACGGTCGAAATGCCACGTCTGTCCTTCCTGAAGCGCGTCGCCCACCACACGAACAATGCCCAAATTCAGTCCGGAAGTGACGATCCATGCATTTGTGGTTTGGGCAGCCTGAATTAGACCCTACAAACGGATCCATACCGATCAATCGAAATGAAATGTTTTGAAACGACTGGTTAGCTGAGAGACTCAGGTCACCTCCGGAGTTCATTCTCAAGGAATTAAGGATCTGACAAATGGCCAGTATCTATGTGAATAGATGGATCCAAATCCGTACCTTGATTTTCTATGGCGTCTTAAGGAGATCAATCCTCTATTGTAAAATTTTACTTTGAATAATATCACAAAAGTTCACCTTTTATCAAATTACTGGAGAAATTATAATAAAACTCACTTCCAGCTCAAGCTATTCACAGAGTCAAATTATTTATCTATAATAATTTCTCATGCAAAGTCGAAAATCAATTTTTTCGCGTGATACTGTGCATCCCTGGGTGTCACAGATAGTTAAATGTTCCTCGTTTAAAGGTTCAATCGTTATAAGCGGGAAATCAAGCGATTCAAGTTGCTTTAGTCCTCACTCCAGTGATACCTAAAATCAGCAAAGTGTTGTAGATCCTCAAGTAAAGGCATCTGAATTATTAGTGCGGGTTCGAACAGTGAATTCATTCAATCAGAAACTAGTGTCTTACGAAGCGTATATCTGTTCTTTACACGCTTCTACGTCGTTTTTGCTCCTCTTCGCGGAACCAGCAGCGTCGATCAGAATGGAGGTTAACGATGTGGGTCTGTCTTTGTTTAGAGCACATTTGTTTCTTTGTATACAACGCATCCTAATCAATCCAGATTGTTGCATTCAGATAGTTATTTATAAGCACTAAAATAATGGCAGATACTTTGGATTAGAAGACAATATTACCAACTGATCACCACTCCAACACCACGAAAATAATCACATGTGGATATCAGAAAACGATAATCGAATTTCAACATTGACATTCACTCGGTAAATTTTTGAGGCCTATTCAGGCTTCGTTTTGATAATTGGTTGATTATGATCACAGAGTGTGCTGGTCACCAAAACTAGAGTAAATTCATCCCAAATATTGACTATCGGGGACATCGTTTTTTAGTAAATAGATTCTCTGGCAAAAATTAAAAATGGATTGATTTAACACTCGCAGACGCAAACCATGAAAATCGAGTTGATTATTTAAAAATTTCGAGGTTGAACTGATCATGTCTCCATCGTGAAATTAGCCATGAAAGACAGATATCCTCTCCACTACTTCATCATCCCTACCTTGTTTGATCTAGAATCGATATTTACCCAGTTAAATGCATCATACTCTGACCTTACTGTACCTGATTGCGTGTGTCAGAGAAATACTTCTATCTTATACATCTGCTGTACGGAAATGAACAAAACAGAATTTTTGGTTTGAGCCTATTAAATCTTGAGTTAATGTTGGAAGTGGATCCAACCGTAATCTAGTATGGTGAAATCGGCATTTTCGAGGCCTTTAGTTATTTCATCTGGAGCGTGCATATGATATTTTTGCTGTTCAGAGATGTTTTAGGCTGTTGCAAATAATTTGGAATTCATTGTATTTTTCTTCGACACGTGTTTGACAAATTCAAAGTGTAAAGTACCTTTGGAATATTGAGTTACTCTTACTTCCATTCTCCTTCTAATCAAGAAGACAACACGCATCGTAGTCGAGGATTCGTATCACTTCTCGGAAATTCCATCTAGTTACTCGTGAACGGCCAATTATTTGATGAATATCAGTCAGATCAGTGACACTGTGTGCGGCACGAATACGATTGTTACGCCTAAGGGATGAATGTAGGCTCTGTTGATGTTTGAACTCCCTGGTCCACACATCACAGCTGAAGTCTAGAGATAAAAATGGAGGAGTAGCACTGCGCTTGGATGAAAATTACTGAGCTATCGTAATCACGCCATACTTGACATGTATGTAATGCGTGTTTCAGATGGAACAATACAGTTGGGCTAAGATAGTTACAAGTAGGGTCAGATCAAGACCTGAATTGGCAACACACTTTCTCTCTCTACTCATGGTTTATTAAAGCTTTTCCCCTCATCGAATGAGTTTTAAAACAAATTTTATAAGATAAAATCTAAAGTGCATATGGTATACTTATTGTCATTCTTACATTTTTATTGAAACCAAAAGCAATAGAATTATGATTAAAAACTCTATGGGCTTTGGATCTGCCAAACAACGCGTTTCCTTGTTTATTTCAACTGACACCACTCCAGCTGATTAACACTATCCAAACCGAAAATGTTTGCACTTTAAAAGTGTGTACACGGTCAAATTCAACCGTGATTGTATGTTCCCGTTACCCCTTTTAGGATAAGGAAGCTGTATATTGGTTAATAATTTGTATTGTCAACCTCTGCTTTCAGTTGCCTCGGCCAACTATCATAGTTATGCCAGTGTTGAAATTCTTTATGTAATATATGGACATTGTTGCCCTTTCTTGTTTAAAGCTTCTCTTGGAATCCTGATGTTTATATTATCCTTCTCCCTAATTAGACCACCTATGAAGTCTTAAATACTTTTGATCGGATGGGGATCTAGCGAGTAGGTTGATTAGAGGCTAGAGAGAAACTGTCGTACATAATTTTGAGCGTGACATTTCATTCTGGAGGATCCATTCTCTCATCCTAGAGATCGCTTGGTTTAGGCGTTTTCTTAAGTTTCCAAGGTCAAATATTTTTTCACAGTTCTTCTTTTAATGTCAAATTAGCACTTCTATTCCACAATATTACTTGGGGCGGACAACAATAACTAAGTATGCTGCAGTGCATTGACCGCACCGGCTGAGGACATTTAATTACAATGGGAAGCCCTATCGTCTGTTTAACTCAGGTCGGATACCGTTATCTCAATTATGAATGCGGAGCAGTCACAGCAGATTGAGACAAAAACAATTGAAATGTGAAATGACCGAAATGTGAAGCGTGAGTGAAGATGCTGGTGCACCACTCTGTTCTGAACTCACACATTAGGTGCGGCGTCTTAAAAATGTGACTGTAGCGAAAGAAAATTAAACATTCAAACATAAATTGCCTACGAAACTCATGGTAACATCAAATTGCAAAGAATAGAAATTGCACTAAAAAACTGTTCCCTAAGAAATAATCCATCACGGCATCGCATTTTACACGTGATTCCGTTGATGCTCAGGTCTTCCGGTCACAAGTTCAATGAACGGCTGATGATCGGATGTTTTGTGAATAATATATTTTCGTTTGCAATAACCAGCGGAATTTCCTCTCTGGTGATTGGCCTATCTGAAGCATGTCCGTACTTTCATTCTGCGATATCCAGTACATTCTCTCGAACTGTCATTAGTCATCTCCTTAAAGTACATGCTGCGCTCCATTTCACCAGCGTTTCCCCTACATCGCCGTAGTTGTCTTTGTTCAAAAAAGTTGTCCATGAAGTCCTTGTCCTTACAGTTCACAAATTCCTGACGCATTGTGATATGGATATCTAGAGCTCGCAGAATCCGCCGAAAACAAATCTAGATAACCTCATGCTTATCTCCAGCGTGCTCAGAACTAATGGCTACCATTTCATTTAACAAAATGTGATGGGACAGGTACCAAAAGTATACACTGATAGGGTGGGAGGGAAAGACTTGTTCGTTATTTTTCCTTTTAAGGGCACAGTTGCCGCTGAAACCTTCATAAGATGACTGAATGAAGCGATAAAAGGTACATTCAACGCCGCGCATCTACATTGGCCTTTCATAAGTTCGCCAATGATAACCGCATTGATTATAGTGGACTGCCTTTGTTCACCTCTTCAATGATTGTTTATTCGTTAAGATGCGTTTGTAACGCACTCCACGTCGGTCGTACGGTACGACAGTTAACCATCCGCATAAAGGAACACCATCCGCGCTAGATGAGTGAAGGTGGTTCGGGATCTATCCCAAGAGTCATAACTTCCCTGAATTTTACCTGCTCTTTTAATCCCAATCGGAACATCTGGTGAACGCAGCAAGTGTTCCAACCGACTCCATTTTTGAAATATACCAAGATAAGAAATGCATCTGGACTCAGTCCAATGTGGTGCGGTGCAGAGTTCAGTTGACGTAATAAGAGATGACTCGGAACAATGAATGGGAGAAATTCACATTCAGTAACGTGAAAAGGTTTAAGTAGGACAAAAAGGATGGCTTGGTACACTACAAAAATGACTTACGAAAAGGAGCACACGACACACAATGTTTCAAACAAGGTACAGTTATTTTCTGAAGAGTTTTAAGTGCAGCAGAATGAATACTGTCAGTGATACTAAATGAAAACACAAAGGCAAAAATTACTTTCGGACACTCAAAAATCATCTCTTTCTCTTCTTCTACGGATAGAGCATATCAAATCATATGGAAACCGGACGAGTTGTCTATTCGCAAAACATACTGCTTGAAAACTTAGCTGTTTGTATGATATACGCCTGATAAACTGGACATTCCTAATCTCTGATTTAAATCCGATGAAAAATGCACGGGAGTCTGAATAAGACGTGTATCTGATAAGCACAATTTGCTCAGGCTACAAACCAACTGAAGAATGCCATCGTTGAAGAATGGAAGAAATTGCAAGCAGTACTATAGGAGTCTTTGATCGACTACAGACCAAGAAAGTTTATGTTACCATTTACGAACAACCGACAGCTTTTTCTGAACTGCGATTATTTTATTATCCACTCGGATCGGCCTTAAAAGTATTTCGCACCACCATAGAGTACTGTGTACAATATTCAGAGTTTCATTCAAGCTAATACAACTTCTTCTAGGAATCTAGTGGGTGAGTGCGTTGTGTAACAAGATTTCGAATTTTAATGTTCCAGGAAAAATCGTGGTGTGGACGTGCGAAGAAAACGAATTGCCCTAAAAGCGTTTAGCTCAGTATAGTTGGTACACCATTGGGCAGCTATGATGACCTCATTTTCAGACATGATTATTTGTGCTAAGCGGAGTTGCAGTTAATATGGATGGACCGAAAATTTCGGATGACTTGAAATGCTTCAACAGTATTGTTTTTGGAGATCATATGTGTGATCAGTAAGTTCATTTGAACCCTTATTCTTTCATCGACTGTATTTTACCCAGAGTGAGTCAGTCGCACAAAGCTGAGGATTTGTAAAAATGCGAAAGTGGCATTTTAAGCCCTACTGACAGTATATAATCTATCCTGGTCAATATTTTACAGCTTGCCAGGAGAGCAAGCCCTACGCACTGCCTTCATAGCAAAGGTATTCTAATCAAAGTGAGGGGCAGAAAAGCTAGCAACTGTGGCTATAACCGGACAATTGCAATTGCAATTCATCTAGAGTAGTTGGATCAAAACCCTGATTCTAAGCAATCCAATAAAAGGCGTACAAATGAGACACAAATCTACTGGTTGTAGCCGTGGCCACCACCTTGATCGGGCATTGAGATGTGATGGACACTTGGACGTTCGACCCCGTCCAAAGGGTGCACGATTCCATGAACCGGACACCGGCCCCAATCGATTGCAATTCTCTCACACCGCTGCAATATCTAATGGGTCAGACTTAAGCTAGTCAAAGGGTACAGTTTTACATTCCCCATGAAAATTCACCTGTTTTGAAGTGGGCAACTTGACAGTATTTCACTCACTAGCAAATTATAGACCGATTTCTTTTTTATATAGATTATTGTATCGTGTCTTGTTTGAAAGCACAGTCGGTAAGCAGACTTATGAAACAGCGTAAATATAACAATGATAAGGCAAACTTGATATATTAGATAAATAATGTGATTTATATGCGTCAAATCGAGACCTTCAAAACACTGCTGTAAGTGGGTGCTCGGGTTTTATGGTTAATAGGTTTACCTCGGTTTCGTTGCTAGCTCTTCATTCAAAAGTAGCACTATATTGTTTTTGTACACAACTCTGTACCGTTCTATCGAGAACCCCGCCCTCCCCCCCCCCACCGCCTTGCGAGTTAAAAATTCATCTCCTTTCTCACAGGCATTTTCACCAATCTTTGCTCTCTAACCAATTAGGCCATTCGAACTCCAGTCACAAACACTGAGGTTGAATTACTGCTCAAATGGCTAACCGCATTTGAATACAACCTGGGAGTAGTTGAAAAATAGAACACCCGACTCTAGTTAAACAACGCTCAGCCAAGAAGCTGATGCAGGACATACCATGTGTGTATATAAGTATTACTTCTCACTTGCAATGACAGTACAATGAGTAAATGTGCTCTCGGGAGCGATAAGCGGAACCATATATTTTTTTGACAAAAGAGGGAGAAAAATCAATTGTTCAACGTTCATCAATACCTATGCACGTAAATGCATTTTCATCGTTGGGGTGGTGGTGGCGCAGTGGTTTAGTCGCTGATCACTGGCGTGCTTTGGACCGTATGGTCCGAAGTTTGAGCCCCGCCACCGCTACCCGACTTTGGTAGTAGGCAGCTCTGCTGTCCTCCGGCTCAATACCACGCCTAACCTATCGGGGCCTTATATGGTTCACTACTCCAAGTCCTGGAGCTTAGGTTGCCGGTTTCCACCACTGAACAGAAGGTCCTCGTGACTATGGGGTTTGCCTAGTCTGTTGTTCATCACACTTAAATGTGTAGTAAAAAGAATAGCAAATGTAGCTTGAAATTTGCTTCTTTCCGTCATTTTCAATCGAACTGAACTAAATGACAAAAATTATTTACTGTTGAAGAAATATTATAATTAAACGGTTACTTGTGAACATCATGATAGGCTATCTTTTCAACCCGGGCTGAAGGAATGAAAGTGATCAAATTGCGTTCAGATATGCTTCCTGCCTAAAGTTTGACGAATGTGATATGAATTGAAAAAGATCTCACGTCTTTTCTCTTACTTTTCTCTATTCTTCTTCCTGAGTCCGAAGAAACAAACTTTTCTGTTTTGTGTTCGTTCTTGCTACCGAATTTACGGTTAAAAATAATTAAACTATGAAATTAATACTTTTTAAAGAACTAAAATATTCCTAAGAACTGGAACCTTCATCTTTTGACACCAGAAAGCTTTGGTGTAATCAACCCCACTAGTCGGTTTATCTCATCTAACAAATGGTAACTTCTTTTATTAACATAAAACTACATCCTCTATTTTGTTTTTATGCTTATAATGATGTAAAACCTCGTGCTGCTCGTATTTGTACTGACAAGATCGAAATTCCATGAGCATTCGAAATTTCAATTCTCGGAGGATATAACACAAATACAAATCGGTAGCATTAATACAGTATCCAAAACCGGCGCACTAAAGGGCATGGTCAATCACTGTAATCATTGAGCTGAACTGAACCACCGTGATAGTAATTGCTTTGAGAAGTTAATGGCTAAATAGTTATTGTTTAATATCCCAGTTTGATTACAGGGCACCAAAGACTTTAAAAAGCACTGCAAGGTATCGATGAAATTTTCCTATGGTTGTATATTTATATTGATAGAGGTTTAACCAAAAGGAGTCACTCCTGTCTCATCACCAAAGGTCTATACTAGCAAATGGTGAAATCGAAAAAACAATGACATTGCACTTCTATTGTAGTTATTATTTAAAAGAATACAACCATACCTCACATATCTTATACAAATGACATTCCGGCGGTCATCTTTAGTTAATTTCATATTCATACAAAATAACTTACTGTATTGAACACATCCTTTCGTCGACCCTCAAGCGCAAAATTTTTTGCCCCACCAATAACTGATATGCAAAGACTGGGTTTGTGTGGTTCCATCATATGCCAATGGTCTTTCATCAGCTCCATCACATCTTCCAACTTATCCTTATCGGAAATTCGAACGAACTAAAGTAATATAAAAATAACAATGCAATGCTGTATAAAGACAGTGAAACACCAATCTGTTATATTCAATTCATTGGATAGAAAATATATATTACAATCAGTAATTGAGAACACGGTCGCAGCCAAGCAAAAATCATCAGGCAGCAAATGAGATATTCCAGTGAAGGATATAAGGTTTTTCGACACACACATTGGCTACAAGACAACGGGTAGAGGACTCAGTTTACCAAACTATGGCCGCCTATTGCAGTGAAACAGGAATTGAGTCACGATTTTAAAAATGAACATTTGTGTGGCCCAAGCAAATAGAGATATTCTAGAATAAACCCATTGTAAAATTAGAACACGAGCTCCAGGGCCTTCCAAATTCAATATAATTTTACTTCCAGCAATCTACCGTTGATCTACTGATGCTCGATTTACATATGTAGTGAGCATCAATCGACAGTCAGGAAATACCCACATGTACCATTGGACATAAACATTGGCAAGAAAAGCTACCATATTTTTTTTTGTTCGCAGCATTTAGGTCCTAAATATCAAGTGTTCTCAAAGGCTGCAGCACCTCCTTCCGCATGGATGAGATCCGTTCTCATTTCTTGATTGGAAAGTTTGATGACCGATAAGGTTTGATTTTTTCCTGCTCTTTTCTTGATTTCTAGTGATGATGTTATCTCCTGTTTTTTGAATCATATTCACAGCATTGCTGGTAACACCACTTTGTACTCTTTCTTTTAATATTTCTCTTTTCTCAGCAAAAAAGTTAATCACTCCGTAGTTTTGTTTCTCCTTGAAGATGCTGCAGTTGTAACTTATTCAATACCGTCAAAACCTCATTCATATACATCTTTCTTAAACGCTAATTTTACTCTTAATAAGATTCCAGTAGTAGATAAATATATCTTTTAAACAGTTAATAAACATTATGTTTGACTTTTATATGTAAAAGTATTTCTGTGTTGTTAGGTTATGTATATTAGTATCTAAGCCCTAAATCAAGGTAGGAAGGTTTCTCTCATCAGGATTCGCATTTTGCTGTTCAAGTTTGAAATAGACGTCAAACAATCGACAAAGGTTTCTTGCACTGATCCACTTCCAGTGATTTAGAGCTGCTTATCATATATCCCATATACATATATAGAACTGGCTTGCAAACAAGCAGAATACAAAAGCGGTAGCAAGAATAAAAGATAAAAGGAGATTTGGGTACAAAAGGAAAACGATGCCGAAATACAATTAGAGAAAACAAAAGACAACAACGATGCTCTTGTTTGATTTTGCCTACAACTGTTGATACATTCTGCTCAAGATATTGAAACTATTTTATAAGAAAACAACTCTAGTTATCACCTATAATATTATTCAAAACATGGAAGATTTATAATTTTTCGCATTCGATAAAATCTAAGTTTGAACGGTCATCCCAAAAGGTTTCAGCTGGAATTTCGACCATGCCAACTTATAGAATTGTATGCGAAAAGAAACGAATTGGTCTTAGTAATAACAAATCGAGAAGAAATATTTCAAAAATTAAAACCGGACAAATAACATAAATCAAAGTTTATTTTAGTGCCTTTTTATTCAAACTATTTCACAAAAATTCCAAAACGTTTGTTGTTGTTCTGTGTTTGTTGCATTACATGAGCTTTATTTAGTTACTATTCAACAGCATTGGTGCCTATCAGCATTCTAGATTTAATCACATTCACATAGTGTTAGAGAATAGTGAAATAAAATAATATTAGTTCTATGATAAACTGGTGTTAGAAGCAATAGTAGTATTATTAGGAAATTTCTAAATACTAAAACAATCAAACATCGCAAATGTCATCATCCCTCCGTTTCACCCAAATAGTGGTGGTAAAGAGAGGATATTTAGAGAGAATTTGAAAGTGAAGTTCGAGATTCTCGCAATTTTAAACTTTCTTCTCGTTTTTGTTAAAATTTTTATTTTGCTAAATACTCTGTGTTATCCCTTGGGAGCTTTAAATCTAATCCCGTCATGTTATATATTGTTGTCTTTAGTAACCTCGTTTGTTCTTAAGACAGTGTTATATATATATATATATATTCTCATGCACTGCATTCTCAGACTTTTTTCAAGTTATTAGCAAATTGCTAGTATGTCATCTCCGCGCCGCTTAATATAACCTTTATCTAGGTCCGGTCATATTAGTTCATGTTTCTGGGACGAAAACAGGCTTTCTCATAGGGTGCGTCTAGGTTCATACACCTGTAGGATTTGGAATCTCCTCAAATGATCGGACGCTAAAATTGTTATCATGGATTGTGATGGTTAGTTTACATTCTGCAGTAGCGATTAGTAATGATGGGTTCACTGCAGGGAATACTGTTGAGTGTTATATCAAAAAGGTTTACAGCAGAAGCGGTAAAAATAAGAACTAGCAACACAATTGTAGAGTCTCACTTTTGCATTCAAATTAGAGACCAGTAGCTGTGACATGATCAGCACATGTACGATGTTTTCAGTATACACCTGGGAGTTGCAATAGTGAAAGACTCACTGTGATACATTCGAGTGCGTGATATATGATGTACGCTGCATGATAGGGTGATGTATTTATCGTGCCCAGTGTGCAATTGATCTTTTTTCTTTTCCCTTTCTTTTTACGGCCTCGCGAAACTACTTACAATAGATGTGTTTGGCGAAAACTACTCTCGTGATTACCTCGTTTTATTCATCACATGAACGTTGATCGAAGACCAACAGAAGTACACTCCTATTACGTCCAACGTTTATACTGGCTCTCGCTGTCAGCGCATGGTGGCCACACCGGTCCTCTACTCTATGCATAAATCAAAACCTCGATAGAAGAACCAGTGTAGAACGAACAACAAGCAGAATAGTTCTCTTGTTTGTGGCATGGAATACCGCATTTAACAAACGGTAATTATGAACACATTTGAGGGGTAATTTGTTAGGAATTATAGCATGCGTCTGCGTAGAAAATGTTGCGAATTACTGAGCGCAAAAAAGCCCACTGTGCAAACACAGCAGTATTAACACCGTGGGGTCAATAAACTAGTGTATCGACCCTGATGATTAGTAGGGTCGTTATTCAAAGGTCAATTGTTATTCAAAGGGATTTCAGTTATGTGATATGACATCATACATGGTAGTAGCATGTCATTATTCAATCGAAATGTAAATACCTCCGTCAGACGTTGACTCATCGCTGTTTCCGTCAGGAAGTCAATTTGACCGAACGCTCTTGTAGGTTCTATATATTTCAAATGAGTTTCCTCCGACCATTTTAGTCCGCTTAACGATTCGTCTTGGAAGGATTAAAAATGAATATACAGTATCATTTAAACTTACCATGATCCTGATGTCCTTCAGCATATTCACCGCAATAACAGCTATAAAAATGTGAGTGGAAAAAAAGCGACTACCGAGGAACATCGCCTTCTTTGATAATTGTCTTTGGGTTTGAAACGAAAAATGCACACTCCCGGCAGCTGAAATGCTTGATAATGAATTCTTTCTTAATCTGAGAGAATAAAAAGTAGACCTATCGTACTTCTTTGTAAAACTTGGCCTGCTCTTCCGCTTTCACGTTTCGGAAACTTTTGGGGCGAGTCATTATCATGTACCAATCGAGATAACAAGCTAATTCACAAGCACATGCTAACGAGTGATGTTAAATTTTCGCCTAATTTTCAAGGTCGTCGCTTGTATCAATTACCAAAATGATACATCTCAAAAAGAAAGGTCACTTGGCAAGACTGTACTGAACATGCAGATTCTCGCACTTATAAACTGATAGCTCCCACTGTGTCTCGATTGTCAGATAGTTACACGAATGTGTGCTGGAAAATATACACGCATGCGGTACATGTCCGCGCGGTTTAAATTTTCGAATTGAACTTGGTCAGGTCAGGTCAGGTTGCACAGGACTGGTAGTGGCCACAGGCCAATCAAGCGAGCGA